TGCTGCTACTGTGCAATACCAACAGAAGTGATGTTTGCCCCTAACCATATGCTGTGAACATCAAACCAAAAAGACTCGCTGCCTATCACACAAATTAGTAATTGGTTATAAGAGTTCCAGTGCCAGTGAGATTCCAGATACATTGTCCCAAAGACTGGCGGACTGCATCAAACAGCATAATCCCTTCAGCTATTTATAACAAATAAGTTATCAACCATATCTAAACAGCTTGCACTTGTAAAGCTCGTTACACAGTGTCCAACATTAGATGTGATTCTGTAATTGGACAATATTTGATATTGATATTCTTGTGAAGTGTCCTGATGAGTGCAAGGTGAAAGCTTTGACAAAATCTATCTTTTCTCAGCAACTTAAAAATTAATTCTAGACTTTAAAGATAGCCTGAACAGTGGTGATCTCAAAACGACTGGGTTATTGTAAAACCCCATTTGATTCAGAGGTGCCCTTCAGGGAAAGAAGTCTATTGGCTGAGTCCTGAAGAACATATGTTCTAGACTAGGCTGGTGGCAGGCTGTGAGAGAATGAACAAGAGGGAAACAAACCTGCTTGGCTTCACCCTCACCGATCTACCCGTCACAGGTACATCTGTCAATGACAGCAATGGGAGGAGAGCAGTGGGGGCTAAAGTTCCATCGTCACATTGATGATGTTGGAATAATTTGGTCGAACATGTTATGGCATACTTCTGAGGCTGGTGGGTCTGGAACCTGGACCTTCTATATCACAAGAGCTCTTACTGATGATATCATACATTGTGTTGGGTGCCACTACCATTGTGCTAAATGGGATAGATTCAGAAAAGATCTAGCTGCTCAAAACTGGGCATCAGTGAGAAATTGGGGTCTATCGGCAGCAACAAAATCGTATTAAATTACAATCTGTAACCTCGTGGTCTGGCATACCACTCAATCTATCACCAAGAAATGGGATCAACGGTCTTTCAATCATAGAGGCGTAGAATTGTTATGTTGCAGAAGGAGGCTATTCAGCTCATTGTGTCTGAGACCTGCTTTCTGAGCATTTTGACTTAGTGCCAATGAGAGGTCCAAGGACGCATGCTAGGGGCAGCACTAGGTGTGTCTAAGGATGAGATGCCAACCTGGTGAAGCTACAACACAGATCTACATGAATATGAAACAGCAAAAGCAGTATGTGAGAGAGCTGCATAGCTACACAACCAATAGACCTATGTTCTGCAATTCTTTCATATCCAGCCATAAATGTTGCTGGACAATTAATCAATAAATTGGGGAGGAGGTTCCACAAATATTCCCTTACCCACTGATGGGGGAATCCAACATGTCATTGCAAAAGTCAGATTTCAAGTGTTTGCAGCCATCTTCACCAGAAATAGAGTGGATGATCGATCTTGACCTGCTCCTGAGTGTTCAACGGTTTTGATTTGCTCCAAGTGATATTGAGAAGTGACTGAACACACCTGATACAACAAGACTCTGGGTCCTGACAATATCCGAGCAGTAAGACCAGAAAACCATGAGAAATAGGAACAGGAGTAGGCTGTTTGGCAGCCATTCAGTGAGATCGTGGCTGATCCACTTTCCCGTATTTTCCCCATGACCCTTGATTCCCTTACTGATCAAGAATCTATATCTCAGCGTTAAACATACACAAGGATTCTGCCCTCACAGCTCTCTGTGGCAAGGAGTTTCAACGACTGTCAATCCTCCGAGAGAAGAAATTCCTCCTCATCTCCACCTTAAATTGGAGCCCCTTTATTCTGAGACTATGTCCTCTGGTCCTAGACTCCCCCATGAGGGCAAACATCCAGTCAGCATTTTCCCTGTAAAGCTCCTTAATAATCCTATATGTTTCAATGAGATCACCTCTCATTCTTCTAAACTCCACTGAGTAGTGTCCCAACCTGTTTAGTCTTTGTTCATAAGACAATCCCTCCATACCAGGGATCATCCTAGCGAACCTTCTATGAACTTCCTCCAATGAAATGCTATCTTTCCTTAAATGAGGGGACAGAACTGCTCACAGTACTCCAGATGTGATCTCACAGCACCTTGGGCAGTTGCAGTAAGGCTTCCCTACTTTTATACTCCAAACCCTTGGATATAAAGGTCAACAGTTCATTTAATTTTTTTTATTACCTACTGCACTTGTGTGCTAGCTTTCTGTGTTTCATGTACAAGTACCCCCAAGTCCCTTTGTGTTTCAGGTTTCTGCAGTTTCTCTCCATTTACATAATATTTTGTTCTTTTGTTCTCCCTTCCAAAGCAATACCCAAGCATTGAACTGTGTAACCAGCTGTGCCTGTAGCCAAAATGTTCTTGTACTAATACTACATTGGCACATACCTGAAAATATATTTATGTGCTGAGTTATATTGTGTTCACAAAAACCAGGTCAAGTTCAGTCCGATAGATTGCCACCAGCCTACACTTAGCTTCAATTACTTTGCTCAGGACTATCATCAACAGTGCTCTCAAGTGGTGCTTAGACTGCAATAACCTGTTACCATGCACAGTTTGTGTTTCTGACAAACCCACTTGGCTCCCGAATTCATTACAATCGTGGTACAAATATGGACAAAAGGGCTGAACTCCAGGGTTGAGATGACAGTGATATCAAAGCAGAATTGTGCTGAGTGTAGCATCAATGAGCCTAAAGTTATTAGGAATCAGGGTAACTGTTGTCCAGAGTGATATGCAGCATTAACAATGATCATTGTGTTTGTTGGACACCCAGTGTCAAAGTATCTTTTCTCAGTTGTCTCCTTAAGGGCCACTTATTAATTTCCAGGGGTTACATTTGGGTTTTCCAATTCCCACTAACTCATTTAGTAACAGCTACAGTTATGTCGTAACAATAGCTTCTATACTTGTGTGGAGATATAAGGATTTGGACAGCACAGAAGCAAAATTAGAAGAATTTACATATATATCTTCAAAAATGATTAAGCTTGCATTAAGCTCAAAGCTACAAGAGGAATATTAATTTCTTAAACACCACCATATAAAAGTTAGCACAAGATAACAGGTATGTTAGAAATTAGAACCAAAAGAACTGTGGATGCTGTAAATCAGGAACAAAAACAAAGTTGCTGGAAAAGCTCAGCAGGTCTGGCAGCATTTGTGGAGGAGAAAGCAGAGTTAACGTTTCGGGTCCGGTCACCCTTCCTCAGAACTGTTAGGAATAAAGCTGTCTTTCAAAATAACAGCACAGCAGGTCAGTGACTGGGAATTCTGCAATGACGAACTCTTCTGAGTTTGTCCACCATCTACAAAGCAGAAGTCAGGAGTGTGATGAAATACTCTCCACTTGCCTGGTTGAGTGCAGCTCCATCTGACACCATCCAGGATAAAGTAGCTCACAAAACTGACACCGCATCTAGCACCTTGAACATTCACTTGCTCCACCACCAACACACAGTGGCTGCAGTGTGTACCATCTACAAGATGCAGTGCAACAATTCAAACCCGCATCCATTACCACTTCAAACGACAAGGTCACAGATACCTGGGACCATCACCAGCTGTACCCACCTTCCTGAATTGGAACTATTTCGCAGCTCCTTTATTGTCACTGGGTCAAAATCAAGTAATTCCCTTCCTAACAGTACTTCGACTATACCTAGCCCCTGTGGACTGCAGTAGTTCAAGAAGGCAGCTCATCACCACCTCCTCTGGGGGCAGTTAAGGATTTGCAATAAATGCTGGCCTAGCTATCAGTGCCCTTGTCCCATTAGTAAACTTTTCAAAACACACATTGACGCTCAAAAAGCCACCATCCCAATCACATCTTCCACAAACTGGGGAGGTCACAGCTAATGCATATGCACAAAGCTGGAAGATTTTAACCAGATAGTTACAACTCTTTATGCTGCATCTTAGTCTCAAACTCGGATTTAATTGAATAATTAATACAGTATCCATCACAATAGCATCTACTATATTTTTCCCAATGCATCCTGAAGCTCGAAATTCTACATTATTTTTCAAGAGATTCATTAACCTACATTACTGCATGCAAAACAAAACTTTTCACTGTACCTAGATACATGTGACAATAATAAATCAAATCATATCAAATTATTTTTCAAGAGATTGTATACCACAGTGGAGTAACTGACTCTCAGTTAGTTGAGTATTACCTTGCTGAGAGATTTGAAACAATTATCTGTCCTTTGTAGCATTGCTGTTTTCCACACGCCACCCAGTGTTTCTGCCCTTCTGTACCCACCCCTTACAGCCTCCTTCTCCCCTCTTTCCCCTTCTTCTCCCCTCATCCCCCTTACCGCTCCTTCTCCCCTCTTCCCCCTTCTCCTCCCCCCATCCCCCTTGCAGCCTCCTTCTCCCCCTCTCCCCTTACAGCCTCCTTCTCCCCCATCCCCCTTAGAGCCTCCTCCCCCCACACCTTATGTTTGGAGATAATTTTCAGTTTCTTTATTTTCCTATATTTTTTCATGGAGCATGGGCATCACTAGCAAGGCTAGCATTTATTGCCTATCCCTCATTACTTTTGAAATGAGGGACTTACTACTAGGACAGTTAAGAGTTAACTAGACAGTTAGGAGTTAGCACATTGCTGTGTATCTAGGCTCACATGTAGGTCAGACCAGGTAAGGATGGCAGATTTCCTTCTCTAATTAGTAAACCAGGTGGATTTCTGACAGAAAACGTCCATAATAGTACTGTGACCACCATTACTGAGACTAGCCTCCAATATATCCAATTGCATTAACTGAATCCACATTTGCTAGAGCATGGGTCTTTGGATGATTAGTCCAGTGTCATTAACACAGCACCATCAGTTCTAACTTGCATTACTTGCAGATTTATCTCAATCTCAATTACAATGAGTAAGTATCTGCTCTAGTACCACTGGTTAGTTGATTTTCATTGACTGGTTTGTATGTTCTGATTGATGTGTTGATTGCTATGTATTCGTTGATGCACGTTGAATGGTTTGTGCATAACTTAACTGACGATATTTTATGTTCTCATTTACAGTTTGCTCCTTTGTTGTCCACAAACGATGCCATGAGTTTGTCACCTTCTCCTGCCCAGGTGCAGATACAGGACCTGCCTCTGAGGTACAAATTTTTGTCAAAGTTTGACTGATTCACACATATTCATTGATTGTGCAGGAGTGAGTGTGCTAGTAGTTTTATAAATGTTGAACCGTGTCTTGCAAGGCTAATGAAAGGATGGGAGCAGAAGTACAGTACCATTATGGGAATTTGGAGATTTCAAAATGCCGTATCTGTGATGATGTAGCTGTGGAGACTTAATGATGCTTGGTTCGTAAGGTTTGGTGGTAGCAATTAATGTGAGAATATTATGGAATTTTGAGAATGCTGTGCCTCTGTTGGTGAGGCATGAATGATTGCTCATGTACATCATCTCCATTTCTTTTAGGGCCCAACATTAATCTTTTTTCTATATCAGGAAGGACATCACTCTCTCTTCCGCATCCTCCTTATGTTAATGGTTAGAGGTAGGTGGGACCTGGATTCTGCCCAATTCCCTTTGCTGCAACTGACATTTCCAGGCAATGGGTTTTGGGAGCCCCTAGATAGCAGCAACCATCACCCTCAATCAGTACATAGAAGGACAGATCCTCATATTACCCCTGCCTCAACACTATCTCCTGACCCATACAATCATTCCATGAAAAAAATCCTTCAGGATTCTTCTTCCCTCTTTGAGAATGTCCTGTCCTATTTGGTGCAGTGCAGACTCATCTTCCTATTCCTTCCTGGTGATAGAGATTTGACAGGGACCTCTCTCTCAATTATTAACGATCCTGCCCTGAGAAAATGTTTGGTGTTGGGCTTTGCATAGCGGTTGTGATTTGGTTAGAATAGGAGTCATTCTTTGACCTGCATAGGTGGAATTAGGAACATGCAGAGGGGGTTATTATATGAAGGTGAGTGGGTCAAGGTACTACCAAATGCTTTAAATTGACAGTCTATTTTTAAACATAGTGGAATTTTTCTTACTGGAAGCCTGGCTGTGTTTATAGCATGTGCCCACAACTTTCTTTTTTCGTCCTTTGTTAAACTTAGCAATGTTTTGAATGCCCTAACATTTGAAAAGAAAAGATACAGGTTCTTTTATAAAGGGGAAGCATTTTGAAATCTGTCTTCTGAGTAATAGAAAGCTGTCTTCTTTCTCTCACTTCCTTAAAGGAAATGTGTGTTTGCTGCTGAGTATTGATGTCCTCCTGAACTGGCTTGGCAGTTGTTTCATTGACGATTAGATGAGTTTTACTGGACATGATCAGACAAACCTGTAGACCACAGCTGGAAGCTGAAGTATGTGGTGTGGAGGAACATACTCCTTTTTTCATTGCCCCACACTATTTACAGCGGGCAGTAATGTAGAACTCTTCCAAATAACTAAGCAATCTCAGAAATCTCCTGCTTTCACACAAATTTGTGCCCACACGTATTTGCTGTAATAATTAATTAGTTATTTATGTGACATTGCAGGCAGTTCTGCATTTCAAAAACTATCCCCATTTTCACATCATCCATTACCAGGAATCTGTCCCTGACCTGGGGCATTATTTTGGGCTAAAGTTTGTGAGGTGCTTCATTATATCAGCAAGCAAAGAGAGGTTTGTTCCTTTGCTCTGGCTATCTTTTACTACCCACAAGGACGATACTTGTGTCATTTCATGTTTACATGGTGTAGTCCTAAATAGCTGAAGTCAAAGCTGCCAATAGACTGACAATATGCATTTACGATGAGCGATGAGTTAGGTCTGAATGTACAGAATATTGTGGAATAATTTTCAATCTGTAATTGCAGAAGGTTAGCTAATGCTTGCTCGACAGGTTGTGGTTGGTGGGCATCCCACATAACGTGCAGTGAAAGATTTACTCTTGGGATGATTACGCTAATCTCCAAACAGTAATACAGGCTGAGGTTCTGGTTCATAACTTAAATAGGTTAGAGTCATTTTCACAGAAAATGTAATTTTAAAAGTTACCTATGGTGATATCAAGACTTAACATCTTTAAATGACCTCCTTTAATGCAGAAGTTGTTTATTTTAACTCAGTTTAGAAAAATGTTATTCCGTTATCTGTAGTTCTGCTAGCTATCATTTCTAGAGCGGTATATTTTAATTTGTTTCATGGTGTCAGTGAAAGAGTAGCTGTGACTATAAAGTGCTTTGTAATGGCAGCAAGCTTTTCACTGAAATTAACAAATGGAATGAAAAAGATATTTGCTGTACCTGGTAAATGCTAAATTTGTCATTGGTTAAGATGGATTTGCTGTTATTTAAAATCATAAAAAGATTAATTATCATAGAAAAATTTGAAACAAGACTATGCTGGATTTTACTTCCTCATCTTCCCGTGCTCATCTTACAAAATTCCAAATTTCGCGACAGTATTGCAACCCTATCCAGCTGTTCCTGGTTGTTTTGCAGTTTAAAAAGTAAAAAGTCCCTGCTAACCAGGCCATTGGTGGGAGGCGCATTTGACTTTCGTCCCAACTAGGAGTCTGGTGGTGCAGAACCTGAATACTGAAACCAGTCGGATGAAAAATCAAAGGAGGATCATTGGATGAAAACCACCGACTCTGTTCCTCTCTTCACAGATGTTCCCTACTTGCTGACTTTCTCCTGAATGTTCAGTTCTGATTTTGGATGTCTAGCATCCACAGTATTTTGCTTTTGTTAGGATGAAAATCAACAACAGCAGAGCGATCCATTCCATCAGACCTGCCCTTAGGCAGTGAGGTTTTATGTGTCCCATTGTATTCATAGAGGTCTAGATTTCTTAAATGGGGAGAAATTGGGAAGTGGTTATGTTCAAAGGAATTTGACTGTTCTTCTTTATAAGTCACTGAAAGCTAACAAACAGGTGCTGCTAACAATTCGGAACAGAGATTGAATGATGGCCTTTATCACAAGAGGATTTAAGTACAACAGCAAAGATATCTCTCACATGGTCATATCCCACCATGGCAGGTGGTGAAGTTTAAATTCAGTAAACATCTGGAATTAAAAGCTGGCCTAATGATGACCATGTAAAATTCAATACAATATCCTTTTATTGCCACATGTACTCCATTGTAGGAATACAGTGACAAGTTTTTACAACATCTGCCTTCTTATGGTGATATCTTAGCTACAAGTACCTAGGTACAATTCTTGGATACAGCAGAGGAATGAATGTCGTTGCATTACTTAGAGTTGAAAAATAAGTTTAAATTAAATAAATTAAAGGGTTGACATTCCAGTAAGGTAGGAAATTTCAAATAGACACCACAGCGTAACAGGTCAGCACAGGACCTCTGCACGTGGTCTGACCACCCGCGCCAGACCCTAGTCCTACAGCTGTCCGTGCTCCGCACCAAGCCCCAGACTGCTGCATACCAGCACTCAGCTACTCCAAGGCGAGTGCCAGGACTGCCACCCTGTGCCAGTCTCTGCCTGGGACTCACTGCCCACTCTGCTCTGGGGCTGGTTCCCCACGCACTGCTCCATGGCTCGTTACTCCAAGGACTTGCTGCCAGTGCCTGTCACTGCACCATTATTTACCTCTGGCGCTGAGGGGAGAAAACAAGAGGGAAATAAAAAGAGAAAGAAGAAAAAGAACAGACGGAGCAGAGGAGCTCCTGAAGGAGCATTCTCCTCTGCCGCCATCTTGCTTTGGAACCAATGTTGATTATTATAAAAAACAGTCTGATCCTTGAAACTTTACTTGTCTGGTCTAACATGTGACTCCAGATCCACAGCAATGTGGTTGGCTGTTAACTGTCCTCTGAAGTGACCCAGTGAACCACTCAAACTACTCAACAATACGTCCTGTCGATGTCTGAGTGGGACTACTATTTGATGAGCAACTATCAATAATTTTCATCTGCAGGTTTTCAAGGACATCTCTATTCTGAATTCTGCTTTCAGTATAATAACACTGCAGAGCCTTCCCTGTAATTTTCTTATCAATTGCTTCTGGAACTGGCAGACAACGCAGCGACTGGCACACTGATGCCAATAGCCATGAGCAGAACATTGAAGCAACTGCACACACATGCACACCCGTGCATACGTGCATACCAGCAGACACGTGAACACTCGCGCACACGTGCACACCCGCTCACAAATGCACAAATGTACATCTGCACACACCCACACAGCTTAAAGGAAACATAGCATCCAGAACCCCTCCAGCCTCAGCTTCAGAGTGAGCTGTTAGTGCGAACTGATTTAATACTGGATCTGCTTCTTGGGTTTCAATTAATGAAGACATACCGAACAGTTCAATTCCCATCATTCTGAAATAGAATTTTGGATACCTACCATCTGCTTGCAGGATTGCTGCGACCTCTGGTCAGCCATTGCTGTGGACACTGCATATGATGGAAAAATACCCAGAGTCTGTTGTTTCAACTGCTCCATCTCCTTAGTTTAACTGGACTTGCTGCGATTTGAAGTGGGTCTGTAACTTCCACTCATGCTACTCTATTCCCAAGGAGTAAATCAACTCCTTCCACAGGTCATTTTTTAACTACCCAACTACCACTAGTCCAGACAACATGTAACATGCCAAATGGACTTTTTTTTAACAATAGAACAAATATATATTCTCTACTTAACCCATTTACCAAGACTTTGGCTTTCATTGAGGGAAAACTAAATCCTGGTTGAGATAACACAGTGTGGAGCTGGAGGAACACAGCAGGCCAGGCAGCATCAGAGGAAGGTTGACGTTTCAGGTCGGGACCCTTCTTCAGGACTGCCCCGAAACGTCAGCTTTCCTGCTCCTCTGATGCTGCCTGGCCTGTTATGTCCTTCAGCTCCACACTGTGTTATCTCTGACTCCAACATCTGCAGTTCTTACTATCTCTAAATCCTGGTTGAGCAAGGCAACTGCTGTATCACTTAGTAGATTTACGGGCTTGAATACTTAATTTGAAGAAAAAGGAGTTCTCTTCCCTTTAGATGAGAGAAAACCCTTCATATCTCTGAAGTATTCTATGTATTTCTTATGCACTCACAGCAATGTCTAGCTTCAGCTTCTTAGTTATACTAAAAGCTATTATTTGATCTGTGCCCTTTCACTTTTGAGTTTCCTTTCTGGACAATTACGAGCTTGAACTTGTCCCCCTGCAATTTCCAGCATTCTGAATGAATGGGTCCCTCTCCTCTCCAGCCCTTGTGACAATGGAAACAGCTCAGCGTCTGAGTTTGATTTGAGGTGGAGGCCTTGGGGCATTCCCATCCATCCATTCTTTATCCCAGCTACTTGCTTTCACGCCCATTTTCTATC